TACTGGAGTGGGTTGCCATTTCCTTCTCCAGTGGATCACGCTTGGTCTGAGTTCTCTGCTGTGGCCTGTCCGTCTTGGGTGGCCCTTCACAGCATAGCCCACAGCTTCACTGAACTACACAAGCCCCCTCGCCACGACAAGGCAGTGATCCATGAGGGGGCTCCCTTACGTACATCAACCCTAAATTGTCCAACAGTCGTTTCCTTTGTCCTACCCACCCTAAAATATTGTTCTTTTTGTCTACATTTCCTGGGAACCAGTGACCACCCCGCCAGGTCACAAATTGGCTACTTAAGGGGAACTGAGTCACAGTCCTATCTCTCGCTCGGCCCCTCTTGCTTTTGCCCTCTTGCTCTCACCCCACTTGTAGGTTCCGTCCGTGATCAGTTTGGGACCACTCCATTTGTGTCGCTGGCCGACTCATGATCCGTTCTCATAAGAACATAAGAGACGCCAATGTTGGATCAGGCCAAAGGCCCATCCAGTCCAACACTCTGTGTCACACGGTGGCCAGAAATACCAGGGGCCATCAGGAGGTCCAGCAGTGGGGCCAGGACATTAGAAGCCCTCCCACTGTTGACCCCCCCCCCAAGCACCAAGAAGACAGAGCATCACTTGCCCCAGAGCCCCTCTCTTTTTCTCCCTCTCTTTTTTGTCCCTTTTCGCTGCAAGGTCGACTCATCTCGTCGGACAGGTAACATATCGCCCACCAACGATATTCCTGCTAATGCAAAAGTCGCTGTCTTTTCCTATCTATTTTCCTAGATCTGTATTGCGTGTGTTTGTGTGCTAGTTAGGGTTGTATGTTTGCTAATTATTAAGTAAAAGACCAATTATCACAGCAACCTGGCCTCCTCATCTATTCATGGGCTCTGGGAATTCTAACTCTGGTATACAAAGGTTATGTTCCTGCGCTATATGCCAATTGCCATTTAATATTCATAATTCCCCCAAGCTTGATAAAAACGAAAGCAATTAGGCTAACACGGGTTAGGGAATTACCGGGATCTGGGGGGGCGGAGCCTGGGGAGGAGAAAGACCCCAGTGGGCATGCAATGCCATACAGTCTACCCTCTGAAGTTTCCATTTTCTCCAGGGAAACTGATCTCTGTATGTAGTGAGGAGATCCCACTAATCCTGGGAAAACTCTACCCCCCCCAACCTGGAGGTTGGCAAACCTACAGCGGAGGGGGAAGCCTGAGGCACAAGTCCTTGGGACAAAAGCCAGAGGGGAATGTAGCAGGCAAGGGAACAAAACCCTGGAAAGGCAAAGCCAATCTTGGCTACTGCCAGGCGCAGACCAGCCCCAACCTGGAAGCGTTTTTATAGTTGTAGCAGGGACTCCTTTGCATATTAGGCGACACACCGCTGATGTAGCCAATCCTCCGAGAGCTTACAAGTAGCCCCTGTAAGAAGACCTCTGTAAGCTCTTGGAGGATTGGCTACATTAGGGGGTGTGTCGCCTAATATGCAAAGGAGTCACTGCTACGAAAAGAGCCCTATCAAGCCAGGGGTTGCAGCTTCCAGGTGGGGTCTGGCAATCTCCAGACAACGGATCTCCAGATGACAGAGATCAGTTCCCCTGGAGGAAACTGGAGGTTTGGAGGGTGGACTCTATACCATCATGCCCTGCTGAGGTCTCTCCCCTCTCCAAACCTCACTCTCCTTAGGCTCCACCTCCAAATTGCCAAGAGTTTCCCCAGGGCCAGATCGAGGCCAACTGATGCCCGAAGCACAGCCCAACAATGGCGCCTCTTGGCCCTTCCATTGCTTAATTAGCCTGTCTTCTCAAACTGGTGACGCAACAGCCTTTCACTCAAATAAAGACAGGTACACTAGTTGTACTAGAGCAGTGGTGGCGAACCTATGGCACGGGTGCCAGAGGTGGCACTCAGAGCCCTCTCTGTGGGCACGCGTGCCATCGCCCCAGCCAGGCCCAGACCGTCATTAAAGTGTGGAATTCTCTGCCAAATAATTTTAAGTAAATGAAAGCATTTGGGATTGCTTTCCTTACTTTGTTTGGATCATCTTAAGTTAACGTATGAGTTGTTTTTTCTAAAGTAAAACCTCAGTATTCAGGTTAAATTGCCGTGTTGGCACTTTGCGATAAATAAGTGGGTTTTGGGTCATAGTTTGGACACTCGGTCTCTATAAGGTTCGCCATCACTGTTCTAGGCCATCCACCAGGCCAGACCCCACAACTATATCACATATGAACTTTTAACATTTTTTATTTATTTAACACTGGCTGCGGTCACACGGAGCATTAGGCACGCTAGAGAGACGGAAGATAGGCGGCTTTTCCGGGCGCGATCTCACCGCCACATCTGGGAAGCGTAGAGCTCCCGTGGCTCACCCGAGGCTTCACTTCGAAGATGCGCTGTAAAAAACTAGTACCTCCGAGGTACTAGTTTCTGGAAACCACGGGGCATGGGCGGGCGTCTGATCGCATTTCTGGTGGTAGTTCTGGCGCCCGCCCATGTCCCCTCGCAAAAAGGGTCCCCCCCCAAGTCTCCACGGATGCGCACAAGCACCCAACGGAGCATGCACACACTTTAGTTTTTTAAAAAACCACAACCCTGTTTGCCCCACG